GGTTTTGATTTCCATTGCAGAGTCATTAATATTGTTAATGAGAGTTCTCATGGATAAGCACACTTAAAGAGGATCATCCCTGGGAATTGGGAGCATTATCGTTTGAACATTTGTTAATTGGATAGAATTGGCATATGTAAGGCTGTCAGATTTCAGATGGATTTGTATTTTTGTTTTTGTTTTAAGAGTGACTTTGGTTTTAGCAATTCGGATTATGGGATTTAAGTTTGGCAGTAACATTGGTTCTAAAGTTCGTGTTTCTTGTCAAGAGCAAGGTTAATGTTCTGATTTTTCCTTAGCTTCTTAAGCCATCCTCCATACTGCATTTTGTCCCATTTTTATCCTATAGTATTAACTTAGGTCTTCTGCCTTATTTTAATAAAACTAGTAGGAAGGTCCTATTTGTTCTAATATAAATTTTCAGGTGTACAAATGTTGTAAAATCAACTCTGATGTCCTCTTCCCAGATGACTGGGAAATCATCAGAAGGCTTTTGTTTTCCCCTCTGGTGTTTAATGACAGGTAAATATGAATATGTTTTTATCCTAACATCCTGAAAAGCTTAAAAAAATCCTTGTGTCTCTTTTTCTGTCTAAAGACAGAGACTATACTATCTACAGGACTGAAGATAGAACAGAAGCACTTAATCATGCCCCTTATATGGGCTTTGTATCATTTAAAGATAAAAGAAGGTGGGGATATCTGTTCAGAGTCAAAAAGTGCTGCCAAAAATGATGATACTGATCACTGATATTTAACAGAGCTAGCTGATTGTAAGATTAAAACAAACTTGCTTCCTTATAGATTATTTTATTATTTCTCTCTGACATTTGAATCGCAACATCATTTTTCTGTCTGCTGTTTTAGAACCACCCAATTTCCAGCTGACTCTGTCAAGTGTGTGGATGTTAGTCTTTGGACATTGTAAGGGCGTTCCTCCCTCATAGGTAGGATGGGCTGCTGGAGTCAAATGATAAATTTTGCAAAAGCAGAAAGTTGGCGGCTAGCCTATAAAGGCCTTTAAAGACACACTCTAGACCTCTGGTTTGGTAGGAGAACTTACTGTTCTCCTTCCAAATCTCTGTTGCAAAATCTTCTTAGTGTTTTTTGTACTTGTATCATCTGAAAGTGATGGCAAACTGTACTGCCTTTTCTGTGCATTGCTGTTCACTAGTGTTGTATAGAAACTTGTGATGAGGCTACTGATGTTCTTATGGCAAAATCAGGAAAGCCTTGGTGTTGAACTTGAAGAAATCAGTGACTTTAACTGGCGTAATGACAAAAGCGTGGTATTTGTAATTCCTGATGTAAGGTCAGATTGCATGGTAATTTGGGCTTGAGGGGGACAATTATTTTGTGCATCTATTTAAATTGTTGATTGTGTTTTTCAAAATAATATGTGCTGATGCAGTACCAGAAGGAGCTAAGGTTCTGATAGTGGGTTTTTTTTTCTTCCAAGGCCTGATTACTGAATTGCTACCTGCTCCACTTTATTGTTGGGTGGGGATGATGAGAGGAAAGCTGAGTCATGTCAGCAGACCAGTCATCCCTTCCCTCTGTTGGAGCTCCAGGAGAGCTAGGTGTGGTGCCCTCCCTTCCCTTGAGTTCAAGGGCTGAAGGGAATTTTCACTCCTTCGTTATCTCTTTGCATGGCTTGTATGCTGCAGGAATATTATTCCAAGCCCTTTTTAAAAATATTGTCAGAATAATCCACTTATAATGCATGCTGTCCAACTTTAGAATTTTTTCCAAATTGTCTATATATAGCTGTTCTGTCTGTTTTAAACTTTTAAGTAAATTAGGTACAGGGGATATGGTGAGCCCCTTTCCCTTTATTTGTTTATTATCTTTACCTTTATGCCTCTAGGAAATGTTCATTCAGTAACTGATTTTTAATTTGGCATTAAATCTAAACACTAATATATGTATTTTATGTAAGTGACTACTCATAAAATATTTCAATTTAAACTTATATACAGTAATGCTTCTTGAAAAAGTGTACACCCAACAATTCAGTGTCCATTTCAACATGAGAAACATGGAATTATTTTAGTAAATGAGACTTCATGTAATTTTTTTATAATACACACTCAGAGTACAGGTGACCCTGTAGAAAATTAAATTTGGAAAAATTTGGAATGGTTGAGCTACCCTGTTGGGTAGACATCTGTGTTGCCCGAATTGTTCAGCAGTCAGATGATTAGACAGATCACGGACTTGTCATTCTACTTCTGTGAAAGTCAGCGTGAAACATACATAAATCATGTCAGAGATGCAGGTCTAATTTGAAATTAATCTAAAAGTTGCTCATGTTTGCTGTATTGTATTGTTAGTCATTATCCCTGTAATCCTGTTGCATATCTTCCTTTTGAAAAACAAAAACAAAACAACAACCCCCAAAAAACACATTTATTTAGTTTTGGTGTGGTGTTTTCTTTTTTTTTTTTTCCTTTAAAGTATGTGATTTCAGAGAGTGAGAGAACTAGCAGTCCCCCAAAGCAGCCTTTTTTTCTCCAGCTAAGCTTTGATAGCTAAGGCAGTAGAATTTGTATGTGTCAGCTGAGCAGACTGCAGGAGAAGAGCTCCATTACAAGAAGAGCCTCGATTTCTGTTTGTTTAAAATCTTAAGGATGTCTGAAAATTAATCCACCAGTTTGGATGTAGCTACACCTAAGAATGCAGGACAGGTGTAAAAGGAAAGAAAAGGTTCCCGAGTCTGACACAGGAGCACAGGCTGCAGGCAGCAGAACAGCCTCGCTGGCAGCCTTGCATTAACGCAGGCGGCTCTTGTGCCTGGTAGGACTGGAAGGTCTCACAAAGATTTCCAATGTGTTTATGGAATCTGCCTGCTCTCTGAAGATGGAGTGCTTGCCTCCCATACCCAGCACGCAGGTTTTGTGGATAAGCAGCCTTCAGAATTAAGCAATTTATTTGCTACCAAAAAGTCTTTTGGCTGAAGCAGAGAAATGCAAAGTGTGCAAGAGCTACAAAAAAGCTACCAAAATAGAGCGCAGGTAACTGTGTGCTCAGACTTGTGCATTTGTTTTGAGAGTGCATATATATGATATCCTGTATAGAAAATATGCTAAATGTGGAATCTATGCACATAATAGTTAACTAGTAACCACTGCACAAATGCAGTCACTGAGTAGTTTTTATATTTATAAAACTGCAGTCTAACAAAATACAAATACTTGTCTGGAGAGACTGGCAATGTGAAATGCCAGCATCCTTAAAATTAATGCCTTGAGTTTTGCTGGTATTTCTCTGGAAAGAAGTAAATCAAAAGCTACCATTTTGCTTTCAAGAACATATTTACAGGTTGTGTGCATACACACATTCTGAAGCTATACAAGTTTGCCAGCCCTCCTTTATATTCCAATTCTGAAATCTTTTACACTTTATAAAACTAGTTTCCACAGTGACACCTGGTGGCAGCTTTAAATGCCAAGTTGATTGAAATTTTACGTATGGGTGTTCTGCAGGTTCAGATACTAGATACTATCCCCCCCCAATCCTCTGAAATATCTTACTGGCATCTTAAAACTCGGGATTATTACCATGAAACCTTTCTGCAGTCTCCTACAATGCAAAGATAGTAATAAATGAGTATTTCCTTAACATTTATCTCATTTTGTTCCTTAAGTAAAAACAAGTGCATGTGTCTGGGGTGTGTGAAGCAAGTTTTGTTTACAGTTAAATCCTTTCCTGTAGAATTTAAAAGCATAATGGCACAGTTCACCTAGCTCCCGTTTTCCCAGCAGTGTGTGTGGGGAGTAGAGTAGGGTGGGCTCGGGTGCTCTTGTCCTGTGGATGTCTGCAAGTCCCAAACCAGAGGCCATGGTGATACTTTGGCTCATTTGGGGGCTAATCCTGATTTGGCCTATACGTATATGTGTAATATAAAAACAAGAGTCATGGCAGAATGGTTGTAAGGTTCCCACAGAAATGGTTGTAAGGGGTTGTTGATCCTTCATCCCTAAGTCATCTTACTTTGTGTAGTCACCTTCCTTTCTGTGTTCTGTGCCGCTTCTGGAAGGTGACAACCTGTAAGAGACACTGGCTGAAGAAAAGGAAAATGCAAAGTTTCCATCATGCTTTGGCTCCATGAAGCTGTTTAATATTCTCCCCCAGTCAAATAAGTTACCGCCGCGTCGCGTACTATGTTGATAAGCAACACCTTATGACTGTACCTTGTAGAGTTAAGGTACTTGTAAAATAGCACTAAACTTATTCTTTTTACTTCAAAACTTGAGTTCCTCATTCGTTATTTAGTTCTTGTTCACATCCTGTAGACTCAATAGATGGATTTTTATTAAGTTTGTGAATTCTGTAGCTGTTGCTTAGATGGCAGTTCAGTTTAATGGTGTGCAGCTATGAAGCTAAGCAGTGCTGGGCTTAGCCCACTTCATCCTAAAGCCAAGAAAATTAACTTCAGGACTAATTTTGATCTTTTGTTGTAAGATTTCTTTGTAAACCCAAATACTTACATCTATTAAGAAAGTTCAGTTAAATTAGGCACATTGGTAAGCATGTATTGCGTTTCAGTAGCTACTCATTAATGTGGATAGCAATAAACATTCAAAAGTTTGGCATCTAAATCGGATAATATGGTGTAAAATACACTGTAATCGAAAGAATAAAGAGGGTCATTCAAGTCTGCAAAGGCTACAAATTACTCATTACAGTTAATCTAGTTAGTCTTTTAGGCAAAATAGCTTTTGTGAATAGTTAATTGATCAGATAAATCTCAAAAAATGCTGGAAAGAAAGTTAAGAATTATACTGCGTCAGTGTCTGCAGTACATGACTGCTGAAAAATGCTTTAGTAATCTTATTTTTTGTGACTTATGGTTAGCCTTAATACATTTACGTGAACACATAAACAGTTCTTGTATAAATAGTCTCAGTTATGTGATTTTTTTATTAGCTTGTTACTTTTTTTCTCCATGTTTCTGTATATTTAATGAGCTTTTTATTTATTTGTCTTCCTGTTTATAGGTATTATAGAGACTGCTGATCATCTGGACTGTGAGACTACTTCCCATTACTGGTTAACGGTTTATGCAACAGACCAAGGTGTTGTGCCTCTCTCATCTTTCATCGAAATCTACATAGAAGTTGGAGATGTTAATGACAATGCCCCTCAGACAACAGAACCAGTTTATTACCCGGAAGTCATGGAAAACTCACCTAAAGATGTATCCGTTGTGCAGATTGAGGCATTTGATCCAGATTCTAGCTCAAGCGAGAAGTTAACCTACAAGATTACTAGCGGAAATCCCCAGGGATTTTTTTCAATAAACCCCCAAACTGGTAAGTACGGCATAGTGTTTTATGTTGAATATGAATGAATCTGTGTATTATTCTGTATTGAATGAGCAAGATCAAGGTCTTAAGTTTAACATCATAACTGTGCTTTCACAATAGTAACAGAGATAACCTTTTCTCTTGGCCTGGGTTGATAAGATCAAGTCATGCAGACCAGTAGAGATGGATTTGGGAGTAAAACAGTTCATTTGAAGTACTTGACATCCTTGCTATACACATTTTTGGAGGTTTACTTCACAACTGCCCTGCTCTAGACTGAGCAATACCCATTTGTGTTTGGAGCGCAGTAACTATGTTCCTGCAGTATATCTTTAACTTAGTTTCATTCAAAAGGAATCTGGCTTATGCGCTCCGGGACTTGTCCTTACTGTGAACCTCAGCACAGCCAGTCGAGATAATTGGGAGATTTGCTTCAAAGGTGCAATCCTGACGTGAGGCAAAACACTGGATGATCTAAAGTTTGTTAGGCCTAATGTTTTTAGCAGTCTCCTTTTTCAGATTTTCATGCATGGGTTTTTGTTGCAATGCAGGCCATTTTTAACTACAAACTTGCTTGTCCCACAGTCAGAAAGTCTGTGCAAGTAACTGTTGCCATTGTGAGAGATACAAAATCTGGAAGATGATAAAGATTATTTGTAGCTGTGGTTGGTATATAATGAAAAGAAAGAGTCTTAGTTCAATAGTTGTTTGTAAAGTTTCAGAAAAATAGGCTGAGGTTTCAGTAGCAAGAAGAAACAAGTGATACTTTATTATCTGAATTGCAAATGCCGAAATGTGTGCAGGGCAGAGAGACAGGGAACAGAATACTCTGTTTTAACTGAAGCTGCTCAGTGGGCTTGAAAGGAATGTAAAGGTTGCCAGCTATTCTTTTTGCTTGCGAATGAATGTGGAGAAGACAGTGCCTATACTAGATTTTTTTTTTTTTTAACAAATGTTTTCTAACGGTAAAGAGGTTGTTATTAATTAAATCATATTTTGTTCGGCAGGACACAACTTATCTTTTCATATCACATGTTTAGGGACTATTTCAGAGTACAAATTTCAAGAGATGCTTCTAATTCATTCAACAAGAAATTCCTACTCAGAATGCAGAGATCTTTAGACGAGAGGTGTGCTAGATAGGTATTTTTAATTTTAATCTCATTGCACAGCAGGTAGAAGAAAGAAATACAAGCCTTTTGCTGTTTAGCTCCATTCATGGAGGAAATTGCAAGGAATTTAAAGGCGTAAAACTATGGGTTAAAGGTGTGTTTCAAAGGTTGTGTTCTTTAGACTATAGCCCTAATTCTGTTTCATAGGGTGTGGAAAACCTGGATGCTGAGACTGCTGTGTCAGCAAAGCTCTATGTACAAACACAGATATGTCATTTGGGTTACTCTGACAATTTCTTTGCCTGACTGTGCTGCATCTGCATGAAAAGGCACTGTCAAGACCGATATCTGAAATAGTTATAACAACAGATAGTTAGCTTATTTAGGGCCTAAATCTAAAGAGTATATTTAGAGGAGTGTTATTTTTAGACTAAGGGCTGCCTGACAGAAAGCCGAACAGCGCAAATCCATAATACATTTTAAAGTGAATGCAGAAACAGTTAATTATCTTGAATTCCATTTCTTTCTCTTTTTTCTCTGCTTGCTTCTGACCCAAAAGGAAAAAACGTTCTTCACCTCTATTTGCTCTTTCTCTTTATCGCCTCTTTCTGTTCTCTAAAAGCACTGTTTCCCTTCTTCTACTTTGCTATTTCTTGTCTCAATCAGTTATACAGATAATGTGGGAGTAAACTCACCTGCGAGTTGAGTTGAAAAAATTGTCTGCTTCGCTCAAATTGCAGGTGAACATAAGCCGCCTACAGTTATTCCTGTCTGTATCATTGGCTAAACTTTTATATATATATATATTTTTAATACTATGTTTTCTCTTCTTATTTATTCTGTTTATTCTTGTCTTTTCTAATTCTTCTCTGCCATCTGTTTCCAAACCTTGTAACAAAAACGCTAGCATACCCACCTCACCTCAGTTTTGACCTGAAGAAACATCTTGATAGGAATCAATATTATAGATACAAAATTTAAGGCAGAAAGAGATTATAAATGATTTGTCTTCAAACTGAGTTTGTAAGACAGGAGGCTATCATGCTAGAAAACACTAAACTTTTAATTAGGTTAGAAAGAGTGAGTTTGCACAGTAGATGGTGAAGTTATAAGGAACATTTAATACAAAACTAATAAAGATTTGTGTCAGGAGAGTTTCTATCACATTTTTATTGTTGCATATGTGCTTTAGAAATAAGAAATGCACTATAAAGTACTTCTCAGCCCCATGTTAAAGGGAAAAGCAAATGAAAATAAATAGATTTCAGAACACAAACACTGAAAACATCTC